GTAGATTATTGAGACTTTAGGAAGCCTTTGTTTATTATCAGCAAGGACTATATCAAGAAGAGTATATTCGTGATTTGAGTTGGGAGGTTCTGGAGGAGGGCCTCCCTCCTTCTTGTTTTTCCCTTGAGACGAAATTTTTGTTTTCTTTGGTATTTCCTAATTTGGTAGTTTTGGTATGATCAGGAAAGAGTTTTTTTTTTTAATTTTGAACTATTATTTTATTCTATTTATATAAAATTAATTATATAAAAAAAAATCACAACTATAAAAAAAATTAATAAATAACTAATTATTGTAGCATGTATTTAATTTTTATGTTTAAAATTTAAGGATTATTATGTGATTATATAATAAAATATTATTGAATAAATAAGAATATTTGATAAAATCATTGATTATCTCAAAACTAGTAACTAAAACCTTTTTTTCAGATTCTAAATAAAGTTCAGCTGATAAAAATATATAGGTATATTATTAGCAAATTAATATGTTCAATCTAAATTTAGTATGAAATTATCTATTTTGGAAAAGTTAAACTCTTAGATTTAACAATATATAGCAATACTATATTAATAAAGTTTAACAGTATTTTCAAGCAATATTTAATACAAATTATCAGATGTTTTTATAAAATTTATGAATTTTCTAAAATAATATATTTTGTAATTAAATTGTTGAATTTTTTAGAAATTCGGCTAAATATGTAATCACAAACCTAAAATCTAAAATTTGCTAATAAAAATATACAAAAAAAAAATTATATTTTTAGGCTAGATAGACTTATAAAAATTACCATTGTATTAGAAAAATGAAGCTCTTGAATTTACTTGATCATTTAGTACATTCCATAAATATAAGCTACTGTTATAGGGAAACAGTGATTGACAATATAACTTAGAAATTGAGAAATGATGATTGTGTGTTATAGAGGTTGCCAAAACGGGTAATTGACCCTCAACCTTATTATTTCTTTTATTTCTTTTATTTCTTTTAGTTCTTTTATTTTCCTTTACTGTAAAAAAGTATAAAAATGATGTAAGGAAATGTAGCAGAGAAAAGAAGAGTAGAAAAATAGTTAATAAAAAAGAGTGTTCACTAGTTAAAAATCACCATACTTATCACACTGTTCTGACCCATAAGACCCCCAAATCACACAAACTCGCCAAATCTACGCCTCTTTCTGCCTTTAAACCCCCTGTTATATAAGATACCCTGTCGAAGTGTCGCGAAGTCAAGGATTTCGCCATTACTATTGATAGGTCCCTGACTCGCGACACTATTGTGAATTTAAGCATCGTGCAAGTAAAAATATATGAAGCAACTGATTCATCTTTCAATGCTAACAACATACGGTATGTGTTGCCGAGAAACTCGTAAACAGATGTTTTAAGTAGAGTTTTGTGTGCCCAGCGTCACGTCATAAATTATGCATTTAATAAAGATAGGATTTGTGAAAGGTAAAACCATACGTTAAAATGTGACCGAGTAATCAAGTCTAGAATTTAAGAATAAATTGAGCTAGCCGCTCACAAACATTAACATATATAATTCGAGATTGGTGAAAATACTTTGGATGTTAAAATTAAATCATGTGAAATACAGCATTGGCTCATTCACCCTTTTTCGTTTTTTTTTTAAAGTTTACCTGATTCTGCTTTTGGATGCTTTCTTTGATGAAGTATGACAGATTTTCAAGATGCCTATTTGTATACAGCCCTACGAACAATTCGTGATACAGTATACAGTATTAGTAATACTACAGTGTACACGAAAGAAATTGGTTTCATACCAGCTACTGAAGATGAATTCTTTTGAAAAATGGATCGGGAATTGTAAAGAATTTTGTTATGACTCATTTGAAAATGTGACGCTTATTTCGGATGGATCATCCAATGTTGTTAAAACTGCTTATATAAAACCAATTAACAAAAATATTGTTTTGAAGCAAAAAAAAGATGACGAGTCTAATAAGAAATTTTTCAGAGAGGTGTGCTTATTAAATCTGTATTGATTAGCCGTTTCGTTTTTGTCTTTATTTAATGATATTTGCAACTAAACAGGCGCAAAACTTACATAAAATTGTGATAAATGAAAACGTTGTTATATTTATGGGCATCAGCAGAGGTACATGTATATTTTTTGTAATTTTCTAAAACATCAAACATGGCATTTTCTAGTATACTAGAATACAGTATCCGTTAATAAATGCTTAATACTGTATATCATATTATTTGATTAATGACCTTATCGCGGTATACTATTTAGATCCTTATAATGGATTTTACTACATGGTACTTGAGCATATTAATTGTAAAGATCTCAGGAAGCATTTACAGGAAAAGTTCCAGGTGCTCGATTGGTCTACTAAAATAGAAATGACGAAAAGCATTGTGGACGGCTTAAATCATATCCACTTTGCGAATATTGTACACGGTAATTTGGTGGGTACATCCAATTAACTTTATTATAAGAGCATATGTGTTATCGTGTAAATAAATAACGTTATCTAAAAATTAAAATTAATAATTAGAACCCCAAAAATATACTGATTAATGGTAATAGACCAGTAATCACAGGATTTGGTTCGTCTATATCACTCGATGAACCCAATGATAACGCTTCTTTTAATTCTCACAAAAATCCCGATGAAATTTTTAATCTTGCTTATTTTGATCCGGCTTATCTTAAGCCGCAAGCTTCCGGTTATCAAAAAGATAAATGTTTTGACATTTATAGTCTTGGTGTATTACTATGGGAAATATCGAGTGGTGTTCCTCCTTTTAGTGCTTTCATTAACGAAGGATGGGGAATATCAACTCTGACGAATAAGCTTCTTTCTGGAATTAAAGAAAGCCCAGCTGAGGGGACTCCAGTTGATTATCAAAATATTTACTATAATGCATGGAATAAGGCTTCTAGTAAACGGCCATCAGCTGAGGATGTCAAACGTCGCCTTAAAGATATTGAGTTATCTCAGGATCCTGATTATGTTCCAGGAGTTTCATGTAAGGAAATGTCAGATTTAGCAGTAGACCAAAAAAAGGCTTGTATTATAACGATAAAAGGTTCACCACGAAGACAGCATTTCTTACTTAACTGGTCTGAGACAGATTTAGGAAGAGAGTCTACAAACGATATTATTATAAAAGGTCCGGACGTTGATAAAAAGCATGCAACAATAAAAAACGACAGTGGAAGATTTTCAATCAACAATGCAAGTTCCTCAGCTGAAATTATCATTAATAATGATAACAAAATTTTACCTCATGGGACTCATCCTCTAGAAAAAAATGATTTAATTAAAATCGGAAGATGCGTATTTCAATTTCTTCCTCCCGGCGAATATAAAAGTCGTCTGGATATTAAATTTTCAATATATAACGCTGACTATTTAAAAACAATTTTGGCAAATGAGTTTAAAGAAGCAAATAAAAACTTAAAATTGTGTGTGTTATTTTTTGATATAGATGGGTTTAAAGAAATTAACGATAAAAAAGGTTATGAAGGAGCAGATTGTATTTTAAAGGAACTAATTGGATTAATTAAAACTAAGCACGTCCGTCCAGAAGATACTTTTGCACGATTTGGTGGGGATGAATTTATAATGATTCTTAAAGATACTGACTCTAAATCAGCAGTTGAAATTGCCGAGAAAATAAGACTTTCCGTTAAAGCATATTCATTTATTTATGAGAAAACGATTACGCTTAGCGTCGGAGTCGCTGAATTAAATTCATTAGCGAAATCACCGGAGGCCTTACTTGATCTTGCTGAGACAGCGATGCGTGATGCAAAAAAAAAAGGAGATCGAGTAATCATGTCAAAGTCTGAATCAAATTTAAATGGTATTTTCTGCATTAACTAATTATATGAATTAAGGTTTTTTCTATACTCAAGAAATATTTTTATTATTATTATTAATGAATAATAAGATTCAGATGGCAAGTACTTCACGTTCATTTGTCAAAATAATAACGATTATAATTTTCTAACAGTATATATGATTATTATTTTATTATTATTATTCAGCCGAAGATGTTACTATTTCCGTTTACTATAATGGATTAAAATTTAGGGAAAGTTTTCCTAAAAAGGCATTCTTATCAGAAGTGCGAAGATCGTTAAAAGAAAAGTATGGTCAACACAAATCCGACCTGAAAATGCGTGGCAATTGTTTTTTCTACGATTGCGAAGATAGAATTGTGGGAAATGAAAATGAAGTAAAACTATATGAGATTATTCGTGAAAATGCTATAAGAATTGTTCGTCTAAGTAAACCAGATTGGTCGAATTTTATTGAAACTTGCGAATACGGCTTTCAAATAGCAAAAGAAGGTCCTATTAGAGCAAGCAAAAAAGCAATGACCATTGATGATTACAAAATAGGAAACGAAAATACGAGGGAGGAAACTATTCATCATATAAGTCATTTAGAGCACTTATGTGAACTCAACCTAGTGTCAAATTCCAAAGACATAATTTTGCCATGGTTACCCATCTACCTCAAATTAACCAAAAAAAATTTGGAAGAATTTTCAGAAATTTCATCAAATACCTACAATGTGTCAGAACATCCTATGACATGTATAAAATTATCTAAGTCTAATATCGGAATTTCTCCAGAGCTAAACCAAGAAATCAAGGAAGCCGTAGAAGATATGCATCCTGTCGAGAAACTCATAGAAATAACAAAAAAATATGGACAATTTTATGCAAAAAAAATCGTATTTGGCGGAAAGATCATTGAACAAAAAAATATCCCAGACGTCTCACGTATGAACTGAGTTATTTTCATAACTGACATTATCGATTTGAAAATACTAATTATCTGAAATTTTAATTTTATTAGGTAAAAATTTAAGTAAGAAAAATTCCAATATTATACCAACAAGCAATGAATATCGTACTATTATTGGTGGTAACAAAGGGATTTCACGTAAGAACGAATATGAATGGCTAAAATCATTAGAACACGACCCGGAAACTTGGGAAATTATTGGATATCAGAAGATCGCATCCATTTTTAATCTCTTGCCAGAAAAAAATATGGAACAGAAGATCTTGAAACAAAAAGTTTTGAAGGCACTTGGACAGAGAATTCTCCAAAGTATTAATTTTAAATGTTACTTTGTAAATATATGTCAATTTCATAAAACAAAAATTTATTTAATTAACGCTTAATAATCAAAATTATTCTTTGACAGCAAAAGTTGAAAAATTGGTATTTGATTTTGAACCAATGCAGACAAAGCCATATGTTCATCCCTTGAACATGGGTTTTAACCCAAATGTCGAGGAACACCAGATTTTTCCTACCATACTAAACAATAAGGAGGGCGACATATTTGGATTACGTGTGGACTATCTCGATGATAAAAGCCCGGCAATTGTTCTTCATAGAACCCAAAAAAAGAAAAAGAAAAGAAAATATGAACTCGAAATTTGCTGTGTTGTTACAGGCTACTTGAATGATTTCAAGATAAAAGATTTTAATCCTGATATTGATATTGAGAGCCATAGAGTCGAAGTTAACACACACAAAAACTCATATTTTGCCCGAATTGTAAAAGACCTAGATTATAGTAAAAGTATTTTGGGAACTTGTGTAATTGAGCGTGGAGCCAATTCAACTTATGTTTCACATGAGTCGACAATCATCACAGGAATACACTTCAGAGAACAAGTAAATTCATGTGTTTTCGTATATGACTTGGAAAGTTGTACAAGATATAACATTGCTCAGAATTTGTTTCCACTAAATGATTTGTATATCCATTATTGGTAGGGACTTTTCTAATTTATAATTTAACGTTGATTAAAATAATAACATAATTTTAATTAATATTTTTCAGTATACTTAAGGACAAGTCGTATTCAAATCCTGGTAAATTGGGGAAAACAGCTTTAACTCTAAAATCTCCATTATTTTCCAAGAATATTGACGAAATTAATATTAAAAGCATAATCAGAAATTTTAAAATGACAGTGGATCATTTCCTCTTTCTAAATTATTTCGAGGATTGCGATGATAGTTGCAATCCAATAATATTCAATGTAAATGTCTTACCCAATAATGGTCTTGTAAAAATTTGGTCTTCCAATAACAAAAAGAAGACGAAAGGAAGGAATGTTGTATTTTATCATACTCTTTTAAAAAAATAGTAAAATAATGTAGAAGTGTTTATTTTAATATTAATATTACATTGTAGAAATATTTATTCTCACAATAATTCAGCATCAATTAAAGATATATTTATGCTAATTAAATATACAGTAAAAGTGTTGTGTTTACAATATTTGAACCATTATTTTTATATATTCGATTTTACCTTCATATAAATGAATTAATATTCGTGCGTAATATCTATGTATCAACTAAAAAATCGAATATCCCATATTTTCTTTTAGTAAAATTGATTCATGATTAAAACATTTTTCATTCGAGATCATTTGAATATCTGGAATGATTATCCTATCGTTTTCCGAAATGCTTACGACTACGTAATGAACTCGAGCTTCTTTGAGGTAATCAATATCTCGAAAGTTGTTTGGACTAATAATTTGTATTTCATTGGTATCACTAATGTATCGAGTTTCGATAAAAGCCTCGCTGGTATTTTCTGAAAATTCTAAGCGAATATTAACTATACTTTCAGATATGATTTCAGATATAAATGGCAATTTAATAAAATATTTGTTTTCCTTTATAGTAAGATTGCCGTCGTGCTTTTCAAAAGTTAATTCGCCTATACGCAGCACGGTCATATCACGAGTATTTCTGCTGTAGAATCCTACTTCACGTGGAATTCCGATCAACATCCATGATAACAGAGCTCCAATCAATTGTTTGTCATCTAAACTAAAAAATAGATAAAATTATATGTATTGATTATCGTATGTAACTAAGACTTTATCACAATAATAAAAATACCTTTTTAATATTATTGAAAACCCAAATTTGGTAAAAAACTTGAACTCAACTACTAATTTCTCTAATACATTAAGTTCTTCATCTGTAACAAAACCGAAAACTTGATAACAGCTGTTTTTCAATGGTATATCAAATTCAACGCGATAATAATGAGCGCCAATATCTTCAATTGTAATATATCCTGTCATTAGGATTTGATTTTTTTCCTTGAAACATTTTTCAACTTCCTTGCGCATTGGGAAATCAAGAATTGCGCATGTTGAAATCAAATCCGAATATTCGATAATTTCGAGTTTTTGAAAATCTTTTGAGATCCAACTTTCTATATTCTCGACTTCTATGATGCTTCCTTCTGTGTTCTTAAAATATGTTGGGTTAAATCCACTTTCCGAATGAAGATTTCTCCATTCATTTAGCACAGTCCGAAATTCATTGTAATTTTCACTAGAAGCCGTTAAAGAAATTTTTTTAGATTGATCAGGAGAATATTCACATAGTGCTGGTGAAAATTCACGACAATTACGTGATAGTTTTCTCCCGATAATCATCTTATGAGGAATTAAATGACCGAATTTTTTAAAAACTTTACATAGCGAAGTGTACGGATCCATGTTCGACAAAGCATCTTCTAGAGCCTGAATTAATTCGTTAGATGGTTTGACTTCCTCAAATGATATTTCTACCAACGGGATATAAATATCACAATGAATAGCTCGGAAGGTGCCATTTTTTAGATCACGTGTTGTTGAAGTTATAAAAGGAATAGATCGAAGAAATTGATGTGCTTGATCTTCTTTAATTAACACACCATTCTCTAAAAAATATGAATATATGTTGGATTTTGTGCTAACCAATCTAATCGTTGAACTTTTAGTTGAATTAATATGTCGAATTCTTAAAGAAGCAAGAAACTTATATTTTGTTTTCGTTAATCTTTCTCCATTCACTATTAATCCAAGACTAAATTTTGGTAGTTTCATTCCATTTATATCCTATAAAAGCGTCGGTTAAAAAAAGTAAGAAAAAGTGATGCGTTGTAAATTTTAAAAAAATCGTAAAGACCTACTTCTACTTCTACTCGAGAATTTATTTCGTGTAAAGGTAAGAAATTGCTGTGCTTAGGGGTAACTTCATTACAATCTGAAAAGAACTTTATAGGCTTGTCTGATTTAGGGGGGACTACTTGATAAACTTTATCTAGGCCTGAAAAGGATTCTTTTTCCTGGTTGGATGTAGGAGTATAACTTGATCATCATCTTATTTAACTTTATATTTAGTAATTAAAAATACCTACAAAATCCGTCAAATCCAGGTCGACAAATCCAGAGTCTAACAAGTTAAATTTAAAATTTGTTAATGAAGTAAAATTAAAATGTAACGATGTTTATACTATCTTTAGTATATTCACCTGCATAGTCATCTGACAACATTTCAAGTTCTTTTTCATAATCAGGGGCATTGATTGGCTGTGATAAGTTAGAAAAACTCAAAGGTCTGCTAGTATAAACGGCATTTGGGTGTGTTTTGTAATTGAGTCCCGAGAAGTTATTATTTGACGATTTTCTTGATGCTTCACTTTCGTAATCTTTAACTTGCTCCTTAAAATCCAAAGGTTCATCACTTTCGATCAACTTAATACACTCATATACCATTATTACTACTTCCATAGCATCTGGTCGGTTCGATGGCCTCGCATCCCAACATTGCATTATTAATCTAGCTAAAAATTCATTCGTCTTGAATGGAATTTTTGGACGTAAGCCTTGACAGATTTGTACAGCAAGACTTTGGTCATGAGGAATATTATAGTATGGAGGAAATCCTGTGATCATTTCATATGCTACTATTCCAAATGAATAAATATCTGCTTCCGGCGTGTAAGTATAACCACACAAGACTTCGGGTGCAACATACGGAAGAACCCCATAAATTTCATTGCGAGTTTTATTTCCTTGAGTTTTATCAAATAATTTACAAAGACCTAAATCTGAAATAATCAACAATAAATCATTACCATATAAAAGATTTCCAGGATGAAAGTCTCTATGAACTAATTGCTTAAAGTGCATTTGAAATAGACCTTCTGAAATATCTCTTAATAACATTAGTTTTAATTTCAAATCCATCTTGTAAAAATTTCGGTCCAAGTAATTCCTGAGGCTGCCATTTTCTTGAAATTCTAAAACAATCATGTAGCATAGGGACTCTGTTTGTTGCGTAATTCCATAACACCTAACAACAAAAACTGTGTTGCCCCACAGAATTGAATGTTTCTCAATCTAAAATTTAAAATAAATTATATTAATAATAAAACTATAGTTAAATAAGGTTTGGTTTTCTTTACCTCATTTATAAGATCGTCAGCTGAGCTAAACTCATCTAAACTTTTTAATGCTACTTTCCCATCAGGATAAACGGGTTGTCTAACCCATTTCTTGTTGAGAACATCCCATTTTTGAATATTTCCATCTTTCCATATCGCAGAATAAACAGTGCCATATCCTCCTTTAGCGATATATTTGACATCTTGAAATTGTGTATACGGTATCCATTCTAATACCTGCTTACTACTCTTGGCTTGAAGCTGAGACTTTTGTATAAATTCGTCAATTTTTTTCTCTCCACTTGTCCATTTGTCAAAATATTGCTGAAAGTGATTTCCATTACATGACATGCACCATATGCTTTCTGAAAACTTTTGATTACACTCGGGACAACAACTAAAAAATGACATACTTGATCTCTTCCTAAACCAGGATTTTTCTATTAAATATTATATGCATTCCATAAAGTTACACGGACACAAAGTGTAACTTTTTTTTAGGATTATCTTTTATATTATACTGTAGTTCTTGAATGTTACATAACATCCATATAAACGTGATTAAAAATTTCTTGATTCTTTAAAAATTATACCTATATAAAATTCCATTCCATCTATCAAGTAAATTTATTTCATACGATTCAGCTGCGCAATATATCGGATTTAATCTTTTATTATACTGTATTTGGGTAATTATTTTTGAAGGCGACAAAAATGCTAGATATGATTTTTCCGGACCTAACTTTTAAATAATACATATATTATATAAATTTTAGGATCACACAAGAAAATTTCCGGTTCGCCTTCGAAAATAATTACCCATTTATTTAATTGTTGTTTCAACATTTGAAAATATTTAGTCCGTTTTAAAAAAAACTATATAGTTAATAAATTTTGTTTTGCAAATTTTTAAAAGATTATAATAATTATTAATGTCGATTAATTAAATAATCCGAATTATTAAAAATTTTCATTGCTTAAAATTTTATTTAATTTAATTAAAGGTAATATATAAAAAAAATTTCTAAAAATAATCAAAATTAGTTTTAATAATATTATTTGTTATTGTTTTATATTTGCTTGTTATAAAATAAACTAAAAAATCGATATAACCAAATTATAATTACAGATATTTATTTTATTTTAAAAAAATAGATTCAAATTCAATTTTTATAAAATAAAACATTAATATTTATAAAAATAAATAAATAATTTATAAGCCAGTTTTTTATATAAATTTTTTTTAATTATATTTTAAAATAAATTATTTAATTAACGCTTAAATTATTTTTTATATTTATTATAAAAATATATTTTAAAGAAATAAGTTAATTCTTATAATAGAAAAAATTTATATTATATTATATTTTATTTTAGTAACTTACAGTACATATATTGTTTTTTTAAAATATCAAATAAAATATTACTAATAATCTTTATTAATTAAGTATAAATATGTTATATTTTATAAAAAATAACAATTGACAATATAACTTAAAATTTGTAAAACAATAATTATACATTACTAGGA